GCTGAAGTGCCCTTAGTGATAGGATCGGCAAAGTAGAGTGATTTAGTGTCAATAGTTTCTGGATAGATTCATGCAAATAACCAAATATTTCGAGCCCTTCAGTTCCAAAAATTACTAAAAAATAAAGCTTTTTTGAAAAGCCCGGGAAGAATTAGCAATTTTTGAGTCAGTGGAAGACCTAGGAATGAAACTGGCAAATTCTGCTATTGGTTGTGCTAACAGCAAAGCTGAGCATTGAACTGGTTATTTCTCATTTCGTTTCGTGTTCAGAAAAACGCATTATTTCAATAAACTTTTAAAACGATCCTTCATCTGAAAAGATAATGAAAAAATTGCTGAAAAAATAATTGAAATGCTGCTGTAGAGTTCCAAAGGTCAAATCGATTATGATCAAATCTCAAAATTTCTTGCTTGACCGTAGTTATGCCACTGGGATATTTGGGATGCACTGTTTGCCCCTCTAACAAATAATCGATTGGAGGCCGGAGCATTAGTCAAGATTCTGAATAAGCTTGTCCATATCGATTGCGATGGAAGAATTTATACAATTCTAACATCAGTCCATACGTCAAAAGACGGGGGAAATTCCTAAAAATCACTAATAAGGAGATAGAGCAAGCTTGTGACAATTCGTGTCATCTAAAATTCGGCCAACCTACATATTAGATAGTTTCAAATTTCATAGTCGATCTTTACCAAACCAACATGACCAAGATTTGCACTTTCAGTCATCAAATGTTGGCATTGTTTTTCTCTTTGTCACTTTTATTCTTTTCTTCACAGCAATCATAACTAATAGTTTGGGACTTCTTACAATAGCTTAAAGAGGGGTTATGTACCTTAGTAAATGAGTCTTTACCCGTTTATGAAAAATACTTAAGTGATAGAAAAGAAGTGTGTAACTGCGGTTCCTTGAAAGATGAACATAAAAATGCTCATAATTTTCTGATAGAAAGTGTTAAAGGCAGCGTCCGGGCAAACTTTCGCCTCTCATGTTTCTGCCATTCTGGGGCCTTTCCGTGGCCCTGATTACAGTTGTAAAGACTAAATTGTTCAAAACTCCGAAAAAAAACCCGGTTCTTGGGGACCCTCTCTTCAAGGAGCGGACGAGTTTCGAATTGCTCGTCCCCATCGTCATGTCAGCTGGAGGAGCTGCAACTCACGGATGCAGTTGTATTGCAGTGTGCAGTGCAACTGCAGTGCAACTGCATTGCAACCGCACACCTGCGTAAGCACTCGTCTTCAGAGGTGGTTTGTGATACGAAGGCGCGGCTTGTGATACGTATCACAGGCCCGTATCTCCTTTTAGAGGGCACGTCAAAGGATCGGACCAACGCAGATCGGATACTTATGGGCCCCTCTTTACAACTATATGCTAATCTGGATGGATGGATCTTGCCTGACGCTGCCTTTAACCTCATCAAATATTTGCCTTGTTCCCTATGCTTAGCGGCTTCATTTCAAAACAAATTTGCACTGTTTTTTTATGCCTAGCAGCTCCATTGTTCGAATAATCGCTTTCACCTTAATGAGAATAAAGTGTAGTTTTTGATGCGTTCGCGTGCTACTGTAATGGCGAATCCAACAGCAAACTTGAAAAATTTTCACTTAGACTCCAAATAAGATCCTTTCTTATTCCGTCCTAGAAATCGACATTCAATGTAGACATGTAAACATGATAGTCGCCACCACCTATCCTTTTGCAAGACTCTAAGCTCTTTTTCTTCATAAGGCTGCTATTATTAGGTTGCCCCCAAGCTCACCAAAACTCATAGAACACCAATCCATGGACGACCTAGGCACTATTTGATTTAGATTTTTATCCTCTTTTTACGGCTATATTTGTTCTCTAATCTACCCTGTCTTTGCAGTGTTATCGCCGCGGCTTATTGAGCAGCGCAGCAGTAACGGCAAATCTTTTCTGAATTTTAATTTTATCGTGATGTTTTCAAGGAGCGCTGGTACTGTTATGTAGAGCAAACCTTTGGCTATATTGTGCCCAATATAAATTACATGGGCTACGTTTACCAAGTCCGTTATAATTATTCATTCAATAAAAACCGCAACTTTTTGATTACGTTCACCACGTACAGTACCAAAAATTCCAAAAAGTTGCATTTTCAGAGCAAGTCAAACTTGGTTTTGTTGCATAAATAATGTTTAACAAGAATCATGTTTCAATTCCAGAACCTTCAAAAGCTTTCGTGTATTTGCTGCAGTTGCGTGTTTTTTGACTTTGCCAAAAAGCGGGACCTCCGAAGAAATAATTTTTTGAAGCTATAATAAAACAGATTAGGAGAATCTAAAAGTATTACCTTAGTCCGAAAATCGCTTTATTTGATCCACACTTAACTTTTTCCGAACTTTGGAATGAATTTATACCATATTGGAGGGCATAAAACGCCACGCTGATTTCATATCTTTCCTAATTGCGGAACGCTTTCGGACGAGGAGTTATGAGCGTTTACCGGAGCAAAAATTTGGATGCGCAAGCAGGACACATTAGTCGTAATATTTTCACGCTTCGATGGAGCGGTGGTGAATATCAGAGCACATTTAATGAATACTTCAAGGCAAAATGATGTATCACACTTGGTTGCTCTATTTGTGGGCTAGTAAGATTTTAGCAGCTTTTTTATCATGCATTCACTTCTGATTTTTTGCTTCAGTAATTGCTCATAGCTCCTCATCCACAAATGTTTTCCCCAGATAAGGAGAGCAGATTTGGAATGCTTTTCGATATCGTACACATTCCAGTTAAAAAGGCCACTTCGACTAAACATGCATCTCTTGCAAGATACCACCTTCAAGTCAGAAATCGCAACTGCATTCCTTCCATCTTTAACTGCTTTACAAAGTGGAACATTCGTTGTGCCTTTTCCGCATGAGAAAAAAAGCAACTTGTTACATCAGAAATTGCCTACTTTTCTGTGTTGCACTTTTTCAACCAGCTAAAAAATTTTTTTCATGTGCGATCCATATTTTAAGAGTCGTTTGAGTGGAATAGTTCGAAAGAGGTCTTTTTGCATACACATGCTGCTCAACTTTCTGAAAATTGTATGGGCAACTTTCGTATGAGCCCTTTTCTTTGTCAAATTCTACTTCTCCCCTATGCCCCACTGAGTGTAAATCGATGGTTCTGTCGTGAGACACGCATCTATGGTAATTACGTACCTAATCTTTCAAGAAATTCTTCATTGTACACTGTACGCAGTTACTCAGTCTTTGTTTTGGTCAAGAAAGTTTTTGTATGCATAGAAGTTAAGGGTACTTTTCCGTTATCCGGACCCATTTTTCGAAAAAGGATATTGCTTCTTTTTTTGCACCAAATTGGACAAAAACTTTATAGGATGGAGAGTCATCCTCCTGCCAAGCGTCAAACAAAATTTCAAATGCCATCTACGTGTTTAGCAGGTTTTACCAAAAGTTTGTCTAGCTACGTATCGATGTAAGTTCAATCTGAAATTTTTCTCAAAATAGAGAGGTAGGCTATTGTTCTATCATCTACACGAACGACGGAACAATCGGCAGCCAGGTACTCTAAGCCATCACTTACATTCTTTTGCTGCTAAATTCGCATGGCGGAAACAATGTGAAAAGCAGGATTTCTTTAGATCATTGCTGAAAGCTGATGTTCTAATAAACGTTTAAAACTATTATGCTTTTTTAGAAGACCCCTGAACAGCTTACAAGTCATTTCAAGTGCTCTCGTGTCTCACCAATGATTGTGAAAAAACATGTTGAAATGGCTCCAAACGTGTTATTTTTTATCTTGACATGTGGCAAGAAGACAGTCCTCACATGATCAGTGAAAAAAACCTCTAAGCTGAAGCATGTATTTCATGATAACATTTTAAAAAGAATGGGTCCGGATAACGGGAAAGTACCAAGTTAAGTTGTATGTATAGCAAATCTATCGAGCGGAACTGCGGAATCTTTGCATTTCGGCTTCATTGATAGTATGCTTTTCCAGGGACTTTCTTTAACGAATATGAAGCTCTTCGCTTTGAATGCAGCGCTGTGCAAGAGAGAAGTTTTATGTGGAGCAAAGTTTGTGAAATTATTACATTGTAGCTCTCGAAAGCTGATCATTTTGAAACTTTCAGACACAATGCCACTACGTCCACGAAGCAAAAACGTGCAGATATACAAGGTCTAAGAGGAGTAGCTATCTTATTTGTGCTTCCAATGCATTTGAAGCCAAATTCATATCGCCTTGGATTCGTGGGAGTGGACATGTAAATTCGTTATTCAAATTTTTGGCAATATTATTGAATTAAATTCAGCTTCTTTGTCCTTTCCGGCTTTCTGATGGCCAAAATCCTCCTCGAGAAAAAACTTACATTGTGGTCCGTTTGGTATTTTTACAGCCGCAGATTCAAGAGGATTGTACCTCTGTACATGTTATTCGTCGTGTCCGTTTACATTTGTAAGTCAGTAGAAGCTCCCCATAACTGTTGAAGTTGTTTCGAGAAGCCATGCTCATGCAGGCAGCTGTTTTGTTCTGTATTATCCTAGTCACTATCAGTAGCAAATGTGCAAGATCTTTGGTGTTTTTGCAGTTGGCTACTTCTACGTATTGCGTTTCGATCGCAAACAAATCCTTGACGATCTGACTTGGGCATACACTTACAGCTCTAATCTACAGCCCATTTTTCAGAAGCTTGGATATTGGGATCAGGTGATTAATCAAATTGCACAGCTGATCATTACAGTGTTTATGACCATTAGAAATTTAGCTCTCGACATACCGATTTTTTGTACATGCCTGGTCTCTCGGGGTGGAATTACAATACTATCTTATTGTACCATTTATCATGGGTGTAGCACTCTGCTTTGGACACAATGCACGCATTAAATTGTTCTCTACAATTGGAGTATTTTCTGTCATTTTCCAACTCTATGCTCCACCCAAGGTAAGTGCACGGTGTTATATCTTGCTGGTATACTAGGCTCTAATTGTAAGTTGATTTATAGATGAAGGAATGTATGTAAATTGTCTTTTACTCTACATTTTCCATCCTTCCTCTTGAGATATTGGAACCGCCGTTGCTCTGTTACAATTTACGTAACCAATCCCTTCAAGACAAAGGTCCGAAATTCAAGAACGCAGTTTTTGAAACCAAGAGAACACGTTTGCTATTCCCAATTTAGTTGGAAAAATGCGAGATCGTGAGCTTCCGATAACCACAACGTGTTTGTTGCTCATTTTTTGAAAAAGTTTGGCTGTTTGAGCTTTTTCAGCAGTTATGGACAATCGCGCTTCACACATCGATAATAAACAAAAGCGCTGAAGCTACTCGATGCAGTTTTTTTGGTTTTTCTCATGCCATGTTCTCGAAGTGATCCTCTTATGTCGTCATATGTAAACCCTACGAATTCTTTAAAATAAGGATACTTTGAATCAGATCTCATTCTAGACCTTTATCCAAGGTGACAAGAAAGCAGAAGCAAACTGTTTGAATGCAGTATTTTAGTCTGTTCTTTTCCGTTTGTTTCATAGTAATTCAGATATTATCTCTCGGGGTGGCTGTTACCAATTCAATTTGCCCAAACTTCTAGAAATACCGGATTATAGTGTTTTATGTATCATTTCTTGCAATTCCTCTCTTTCTCGAAATTTTCATCCCGTCTTGATCGTGGTCCACGATCTGAATGCGCGTGGTCATAGTTGGGAACAAAAATTCTTATAAATTCAAGCATTAAGCCCCCATTTCCATCATCCATTGTTTGATATGTGTGTGTTTTTTTTCAAAATTCTTGAAATCTGGGGAATAATAATGTTGATGTTATGCTATGTGCAACTTATCAACAAAAACTTTCGAGTCTTATTCGAACAATTAGAAGAGCGGGTAAAAATTGCTCATGCATACTCGAAAAATTTTATTCTCCCAGTGGAGCTCCATAAGGGGCTGTTTATCTCCTCCGAAATTGATATACTTTTGAGTCTGGCCGAAACATTGAAAACAATGTGATATTACATATGCTGACGTGTAAAGATATATACAATGGAGAGAATGCTTGTACAACATAATGTACTGCGATCATCGACTGATGAAATGGTAATGAAATTGGGCTGCTAAAATTGTACTCTCTTACATCCTATACAAGGTTTTCTGCCTCATCATGGTTAGCATTCTTCAACTTCTTATAACAATGATGAAATTGAGATGAGTGGCTTGTCCAGATGCATGACGTCTGGAAGTTACATCGATTGTGATTTGAGATTTTCCAAGCATACTGCATCGGTTGTCAGCAAAACATATACCGATCAAAATTTTCGCAATGAACATACTGCTAATTATGTTACTGTCTAGGTTCTACAAAGCTTATAACCCCAGCATTTAATATTGTTCAAGTTTATACTAATTCGCAAGCAGAGAAAGTTGAAGAATCTGAAATCCAACATACTTGTACATACAACATACTTACATACATGCCTTCCTTTGCATATGCATTGTAACATTGAAATTCCCAATTGCCATGTGAGTGCTAAGAATTTGGACTTGACTTATATTACAAGATGTAAGATCTAACTTGATGATTGCCCAAATTCTTCGCATGGAAAATTAAGTAAACAAATCTTGGATCTACAAACCTACCAGTACTAGGGTTTCGATCGCTGAAACCTATCAACTCAAATTAGAACATTGGTTACCTTTTCTAAAACTGTGCAAGATCGCTTTAACGATGCAATGATTGCTCTCTTTGATTTTGTTGCATTCTTATCGTATTGTGCAGGCTTTTAGTGCTACGATTTTCTTGGGCTTTTAAGGCTAAATCTTTATGCATTTTGTTTTCTTACTTCTTCTTATTTATCTTTCATCGTAAAATCTTTCAAAGTTCTACTCTATTTTTTTTTCGTTTCAGCTGCTTTCAAACCCTTGTGTTTGCTTTTTGATGTGATTGAGTACTGAGAGTAAGTAAAAGAAGAATCATGTGATTGTTATTCGTACCTGTTTGATAGTCCCTGTTAGTTCACCATCCCCTCCAATGATTTGTCACTCCTCCACCCCTTAAAGTTTGGCTCATTGCTTTGAACTGTGTGATTTTTGATTACATTTGCTTGAACAAACCACAGGTACTGTTAGGCTAAATTGTTCGGTTGATAGATACCTAATCAGTCTAATCTCGGACGCCTTCAAGGCTTACATTACGCCTTGGACGGTGGCATTTTCTGGTGCTAATAATCTGTTGGTTCTGCTTAGCCGTTAAGGCTATTTCTGTGGGAGGACGTGCGTACTACAAAGACCTCGCCGCCATTTCTGCGCACTTCTTCTCATGCAAATTTTCGTTATCGGTTCATCATAGGTGCATTCTGCAAGTGGTATACTTAGCATGAAAACAGTGTCTCATGAATTTTTTCTCCTGTCAAGATTTTCCTTCTATCATATTTTCCTGAGTTTTTTTTTTGACGCACCTTGAGGGCATACATAAATCTAAACATAAACGCAACTTTAGTATTAGTTTTTGAAAACATTAAAAAGCAAAACAGGAAGGAGCTGGAAAAGATACCATTGCAAAATTACTCTGTTTGCTGTTAGTTGAATTTTTATAGTATTTCGAAGTTTTTCAAAACGACAAGCTAAGTTCATATATGGTAAAAGTAATAAATCTAAAATATCGGCGCTAGTAAAGCAATCATGAAAAAGTTTAGTTCTAAAACATGCGTACCATTTTCCGGAAAGAGAAAAAATCTGCCTCGAGCACTATTGGATGTGCTTTTTTGATGTTTCAAGTCCCACGCAAGATGAAAAAGTAATAAAAGAACACAATTCTGCTGATATAGCCTTATCCTCTAAATAGCATCCTCACCAGCCTCTAAAAAAATTCCCAACTTCTAGTTTAACGCAGAAATTTGAGAAATCGTATCCTACTTTCTGCAGTTTTTCGTTATTGTGTATTTATTCAAGCGTGTACCATATCACAGCTTCCAAGTTCACCGCTAACGTTAAAATGTTTGAATGTATTCAAGTGTGGTTTTCAAAATGTTGTCAGCTTAGATGCACAATGCAATCGAAAATTAGTATATTAGCAGCTTTTTCCTTCCGTAAATTTATAATCAACCTGTTTCAGGTATCCTATGGTTTCTTACTATCTCGGATCTGGCAGTTTATGTGCGGGTCGATAGCGTACGAGTTCTCGAAACCATTTCTTTCGAAAGACAAGAGTTTGCTACGCCAAGAAGAAAAGAATTCGTCAGAAAATGCTGCTTACAAACAAGACAAGACTGAATTGTCATACAAGGGTATGTTGGCAAACGTTCGTTAACTGTTCACGAATTCGAACATTTCTTCAAATTCGCAGTTATCCATAGTAAAAAGAACCAGGATCATGCACTTTACTAAGTTTCTTAGATTTGAGCAGTGATAATTAAATAAAAGAAGAAGAGGAAATTACCTAATCCGTTGCGTTCAATAATGTAAAGAAAGATGTTAAAAGATATTTTTTATGATGGTTTTTCAAGAAAAAATTGCAAGATATAGCTATGTTGCTGATAGAGGTTTGTGAAGTATTTTTATCTAAACCTTACACAAAGATAGTTGCTACTAACATCAAATTCTATACAGGCTATAAAAAAGTGAATTGGGCGGCCATGCCCTCGGCTACAGGGATGTACTTGCCGAAGCAGATTGACAAAGCAGGTATTTAGGAACATCTGAGAATTAGCAAAGATCGGCCATCAGAAGTTTACGGTAAAAAAATCATAGGAGATCATTTTACTGTGAATTGCGACAGTGATTCAAGCGACCATTCGAGCGCCGTCAACCAGAAAAGCTGATAAAGCAGAATTTGTTACTTGCTGAATTACGTCCAGGGCGCGGCCTCATTTGCAAGCAGGCTTGACTTTGATTTTGGGGTGAAAAAGCAAAGGGGATATCGTTTTGTGAGTCCGAACAGGGACAAGTCAGGTGAGTTTTTTCTAGTCGCCGCTCTCAAAAAAGGTCGAAGGAAATTTTGCGAAAGCCAGGAAAAACTCTGTTCTCAAAAAGCCTAGAAACAGAACCAGCCGGTTTCTGACGTTTGCAAACAATCATGCAAACTTTTTTGTATAAAGTCCGTGCTTTGAAACACCTCTACAAAAGTGCTTTAGAACCTCTCCGTAACAATGGAATTACCTGCCAAATGACAAAGAAGTTAATGTGCAAGAAAATTTGATGGTAATCGCACGATACTGAGAAGCGGTTTATTCCAAATTGTAAACCTAAAGGTTTTGAGTTGCAGCACTAATACCGATCGCACTGACTGTAGTGAATGCGCCGATAGCTTTGACCGTACTCACTAGTCTGAGCGTAAAGAAAGAACAGTTTCAGGTTGGAGCAAGTAAATCACGCCTAAAACGTCTATTTTCTGTTTTTTTTCCAAAACTTAAGCACACTCTCGTCTGCTCATCATGCTCATTTTGAGTGTGAGCCTTTTTTCATCTGTGAGACGTTTTTGCTGACTTTTTATTGGATAAGTATGTCGGTTCTATCGAAAGCTTGAGTTTTGTTTTCTAATTTTTTGTTTCCTTGGTTTATGGAGTTGCTGGCGTGCGCAGTTTGTAGTTTCCTTCCATATCATTGTTGGGAAGGTTTCGGGTTTCCAAAGTTTGCCGATTAGACCGCGCACCTTTGTATTGATTTGTTCTGTCAGTCTATTTCAGTTATTTACGTGGTGCGTGGGTGAGCGAGAGCGCGCACGGGTAGAAAATAGACTTACGCAACTTCAGCATCAACTAAAAGAGAGGTGTTCCCATATGTAGTAGCAGCATTTGTAGAACAAGCAGTGGCTAAGCCAAATGTAAGTTTAAGGGTTTTTAAACATGCAAGCAATGACTGAAGAAGAACAGATGGATAAATGTACGAGAAGTTAGCCCCAAAATCGAATTGAATAGGCAAGATGAATACTTGGAACCGGTAAAATTAGAAGTCAGCCTTTTCTTGATCGTAATTTATTTTCGATCTATCTGTATCAGCGTAAAGAATACGTTGTGACAGGGTTGATGATTATTGAGTGTATACATGCTCCTGAGACACCCGTACATGCTCCTTTACGCTCTATGGCTCGACATTCGTTATTGCATTCAATGAGACAGTAATCTAAGAAATGTAATGCATCACATAAGTCTTGGAAGTCTCATGTAACATTTTCTACAAAAGTCTGCATTTGATGGCGACTTTCGGCGAGAATGTTAGAGCAAAGTGTATAAGAGTAAGGCAATCGTTCAAAAGGCGTTAAAGGAGCCAATTTGGTAACTAGCTTACATGGAGAAGTAGAACGGCAAAAGCAGCAGTTTTGATAGAATTACTTATTTGACGGTGTTGATGCAATCAGTGCACTTTTGGTCATACATGCATTTAGTACCGAATGCGGGTTTCTCGAGTGGATCTTCACTCACGAATATTTTGTTGTTTGTCCTAGTCGTGACAGTGGTTATTAGCCCAAAGTATGTTTCCGATGATACGGCCAGGTATGTCAGCTTTCAAGCATAATTCACATGACAGAAAATTCGCTGTCAAGCATATTTGCCTTCATAATCAAGTTCCTAATTACAAATGCACAGGATATGGTCAACGTTAATAGCTGGCTTAATGGTTTATCTCAGTACAGATGCATTTTTTCTGACAAATGGATTCATAGTTTATTGTGGAGACATATCCTACGTTCTGTATCTTGTTCACTGGCCGATTATATCAGCAACCCGATATTTTGCGGATTCTCAAGCGCTGAGTTTGAAAAGTAACAATGTTTTTCTCAGAATTCCAAACACTTTGTAAAAGTTTGGGGTTCATACATTGCAAGAACTAGGAGTATGTCTTGGGCGGCTTTTGCATTCTTGGCATGTCAAGATTGCATAGAACTCAAAAAGCTTAAATAAATCTCAGAATAGAAGAAGCACATATTTAAGGCGTGGCGATTGTACTTTTTGCTAGCTTCATGCTGTCGGTAGCAATTCACCACACTCTTGAAGTTAGGAGTTTTTTTTTATCCATCCGTATTTTGGGAGTACGATAATCTTCATGAAATCGTTTGCAGAAGTTTTTTGAAAAGAATGGAGTCATAACGGCCTGTCTTTGCGTGATTGCCTGCTATGCGTGCATTCTTGGCACAAAGTCTATGTATCTTTACGCTCCTCCACTCGAAAGCATCAATCCAAACATTTCAAGTACTGCACACAGATTAATGAAGATTTCGACAGCTTTATTGACTGAAACATTTTTAGAAATTGGCTACACTATTGAATGGAATTTGAGAGAATCTCGTAAGAAGTATTTTGCGATGCCGTGCAGTAAAGACGGTGATACTCAGCGGTACACGAATTACAAGAATAATGAGCCTGAGCTGCAATGCGTTGCGGTAAGTAAGCTGAACACATGGGATGCTTACTCAGCACGCGCCGCCGTCCGCGTCGCAGTACTTCCTCATCGTTGAGGCGCGCTTCGGCGCCTACATCGCAAAGGCGCAATAATATTTGAGTATCACGTGGTTCCTGAGTTTGCAACCTACGCTATCACATTGAAATTACCTATCGATCCATAGGTGTCTGAGGAAGAATAAAAGATAACTCTAAGGCCTCTGACAGAGTTTACGCGATTTGATTGTAACGATTCAATCGCTACAAGACAGCTGTTGTGAGTTCATTGCATTGCCGATCAGCTTGCATTTCGGTTTTGATACTCTTCCAGCTCGAAATTTTTGAATGTAAAATGAAAAATGAAAATCGCGGCGATTAAATCGCGACGATCAAATCGCGTGAAATCTGTCCGAGGCTTAAGGCTGATTAAAGACTGAGTATGCAGGTTATATTGGATTTATTGGGAAGGCTGATAGCCATAATAAACGGACATCCAAACAAGCCGTGACGGGGACGCTTACGGTACAAAACTAAAACCTCAGTATCCGTACGAGATATTGGGGCAGAAAACGGCAGAACAGGCAGTCATGCCACAAAAGGAAGACTCATATAGTTCCACACAAGCTTCCCCTTCAGCCTCGCTTTGCTAATTTTTTGAATAATGTAGCACAAACTCCACAGTCAGATGATTCGTGTCCGATGGATATTCCAAAATCCTCAAACGATATTCTGCCGGCGCTAAGAGAAGTTGCCGTGACGATTCCGTAAATGCGATACTATTGTTCATTTTTGGATGGTGCCAGAGAACACTTTTGGTCACATCTAAGAATACTTTCAGAATGGTATCCTTGAGTAGCATCAAGAACTTATTTTTCTACTGACTACGTGAATAACTTATCGTCTTTAAAGTCCAACTCTGATGCCGCATTTTCTTAGCGAAGCGAAAGATATGGATTTAAACAATATTCTACCTCTATCTGATCACTAATATACCCTTGTCTTTCTAGTACAGAAGGTATTGGGTTTTAATCGCTTTGCGCAAGAAAGGTTTTTCGTTTAGTTTTGCATATAGCAGCTACCAATCTCGTCTTTTGCAATCTTTCTGAAGGAGTGAAAGATAAAGCTTTCGGTCTGACTGGACTTGCATGAAACATACTACCTAGAATGAACATTATTCGACGTGCCTGTTTCCACCAGGTTGATTGATCCACAATCGTGATACATAGTTATTGTTATCTTTCCTGATTTGAACTCGTTGGCAAATTCGCTTCTTTATTCCAAACACTTTCCATTTGGTGGGCAGAGTCAATTGTGGCTTTAGAATGATTCAGCACTCACTTTGTTTGGTGAACTATAGTATAATACTTTGCCAAGCAAAGAATGAGAAGTTCGCCGAGAAGAAATGTTTGAGAAGCAATATCCCACAATCGCAAACCTAAAACCGTTACGGTAGGATATCTTCGCCGTGCATACTGAAACGAAAAGTACAGGAACGCGCTCGCCTGGGAGTCGCATCGCGTGCTGAGCCATACATGAAAGGCGGCGGGCCGGTCCTCTCTAAACACATGGATCTCGAAACGTAATTCAAACAACTAAATCACAAATCATATCTTCAAAATTTGAAAACTTAGCATGAAGATGTATTTGGGCTTCTCAAAAGTAGTTGATGATGTTTAAATTGTTAATGGGTGTATAAAAAAACTATCCATCTTTCGTAGGCCGTGTTTCTGGATTTTAATCCTCTCACAAATAGATTTATGCTGTGCTGAAAACGCAATCAATTTTCCACGTAGAAAACATATTCCATTAATACCACTTAGTTGCGTTGTGCTGCGCATGCTCTATGGAACTTGAATTAGTAAGTAGCAAGGGCTTAGGCGTAATCTTTCTAGTAACTTTGATCATTCTTTAATCTATTCAGAAAGGAAATGCCACTGCCAAGGTCTTGGTTCTTGGAAACTCTATTGCTTATAGAGCATACCCTTTGATTCACAATATACTCAAAGGACGCTATCGCAGCCTCAGGCTTTTTCCAGGAAGCGGTTTGTTTTTGTCAAGTTTTGTAACTACTTTTCTGGTGGAGTTTCATACCCATTAGCTCGCTGAAACTTTTTTTATTTGATAGGATGCCCATCTCTATCGAATTGGTGTGCAGCATTGACAAAGGCAACGAAGAAAGTTGTACAACATGAAAAGCCAGACATTGTACTGTATATGCATCACAGCTTGTAAGTTTGCTCACACAATCCTTGCATGAAAAATCGCCGTTCATGATGTTTTTATTGAGAAAGACTCCTTTTGTCGCTCCTGTTAAGGACCTTAAAAAAGATCGAATCTACAAGGAATTTCAAGGAAACATTGACTTTATCAGGTATTTCTGTATTTATGTGCAGAGGAAAAAGACCTATTAAAATGGAAAAATTCAGATTTACGATATCGATAGTTACTCACAAGCAAAAGTGTTTAGATTTTCAATTATTTTTAGGCAACCGCCTTGATCATAAAAGAGCGTTCACTAGTCAATATTTGTTTCAAGGAAGTTTTTGAAGACGTAAGAATTTTTTAAGCAAGTACGCGAAACACATAGTCATCGATATGCCGTACTATACACCTCCATTCAACGTTGGAGCGAAGCTTGCAAGAAGACTGCAGCTGGGTCTTTTGCCTGGTGATGAGTTCGTAGTTACTTGGGAGGTATGTAAGCATCTTGCCGTTTTTCTCAGTAATCCTCTATATTTCTAGCAACACATCAACCAAACACGATATCATCAACTGCGGCTGAGTTCACTGAATTGCAGCAAATGCATCATGAACAACATAAACGAGGTCAGGAAGAGTTACTGGCTAAGACAGGTTGCCACTAAAATCCAAAAATATCAAAATTGTGATATTTCGGATAACCCAATTTCCGTTTGCTATTCTCCATTTACCCTTATTTTATAATTGATTTCATACTATGTTTATGCAAAATAGATGCACAATGTTAGGAGCGTCTAGGAAGGAGCAACCAACATTGATGGTCTGCTATCTGTAGAGACTTTGCACAACAAGAGAGACAATTAGAGCTGAGATTGGATCAAAATAACATCTGCGCAATAAGGTCACCTAATCATGGGAGTTTTCGTAGTTTTTATAAATAACCTATAGAGTGCATGCTTGCTACAATTTTGAGCTAGTTCCTGACTGGCTTCCTCGTTATTGCAAGCTAATTTCAACAGTGGGTCACGCTTGTAATGTTTCGCTGCGGTTTGAACTGTGATTTAGTAGCAGAGAGATACTTGGCTATCTAATCTAAGATAGGAAAGATATTGGTTTCGGAAAGCTACTAGAAGGGAAACTAACACGGGAAGGATGGTTGGTCGAAGTGGCCTTTTGAGATGGGTTGTATACCATGTTGGAGGGTATAAAACGCTGATTCCAAATCTGTCTTCAATATCTGCGGCGCGCTCCTGCACAGAATTTATGAGCAACTGGAGAAAAAAACTGAATGTGCAATTATTATAAAGACAGCAATAACATTTTTCCTAGCACTTACATAAATGGACCACTCGTAGCTTTCCAGCACTCTGTAAAATAAATACCCTTAAATGAGATGTATCCGCACTCCGGTTGTCTCATTTAGGCACCAGGGCCCAGCACCAGGGATATCGAATTCTACGATTTCCCACTTGATCCCGCCAGCTGCGTAGGTTGTTCAGTTGGAGCGCTTTCTTCCTCGGAATGACCGGCATCGTTGCTAGTTCGGATCCTTACAAGGAGGAGAGGAGGAGTTTAGAACCAAAATGTTACTTTATACCAAGCTTCAAGCGTAGAACACATTTTTTTAAAATTTTGAAAAAATATGTGAACTGGAAGTCTTGCCAACCTCAGTTGGGCATTAGGTTGACAACTACTAACCTAATTTGGAAAAAAGTTGGGCACGCTCTTCATTGACATGAGTTTTTGAAAATTTTTCATATTTGTTCCCTAGTCCTACTGCGCTTATACAATCAAATCTCGAGCGATTTCGTCACCTCTGCGTTGCAAACGAGCCATTTTTCCATTTTTTGTAGCGGGAAATTTTTAGACAAAAGCGTGCCACAACCTTCAATCATTTTGAAAAAATTTAAGCCTTGACCCACCATGTGGGTCACGTGTCCTACGTGGCAGTTGAAGCATGGCCCACCACGCTCTCACGTTATCGTGTCTCACCAAAATGTGATTACTGAGATTTTTGCACAGTGCAAGCCTTTCGCTTCTGTTTAAATCAATGCGGGTCCAAGTTTGCATGAAGTGTACATTTGAAAGCCCTATGGAAGCAACGCAAACGAGTTGCGCCTTTTCAGCGTCGCCTCCGCCACATCGGCAGACACCTTGAGGTAAGAGCTAAGTGGAGGGACATGCTGAAACGCACAAGGGGGAAACCGGGAGCCGGCCGTGCGAGCCAAATCGTGCTTTGCGGGCCACTTTGATGACAAATTTCTCGGCGCAGAAAGGCCCGAATCGAGTCGGAGTTGGGGCGGTAGCTTATCCAGGGGGTCCTTCAACGAATATCGTAGAGACTCGCATTGCATCAATTTTGGCGAGACACTGCCTTTAGTCGAACTAAAGGCATAATATTGTAAATGTTGCGTAAAGGAAGAGAGTAGGTTTACTGAAGGATAATGATGCTACAAAAAGACTTGGCCAAAGTGACGCGACAGTGAGTTAGCAACCGTAGCACCTTTTGAAATGATCCCTTGTTAGCAAAAGTGTTGATCTTCATCTTTGTTCTTTCCTGACATCTTTCCTGACACTTTTGATTTTCCCTGACATAGTGCTAGATGAAAAACGAAAAATTCTAGTGGTGCCCCAGGTGATATAATATTTCCTTACTAAAATGCAAATGAAAAAGAGTGAAAACACCTCACGTGCAAGAAAGTAGACTCAAAATAATTTTGCTATCTTGATTTATTTATTTATTTATTTATATGTTACGCACAAGGCGTGCCAAAACCGGAACAGACCAAGAAAACAAGAAAAGAGAAAACAAGACAAGCAACCATCAAGCAGCTCAAGTCCAGCTCCCCTAGGAGTAAAAAGGGACGTATTAAGCTTGTTTATAGCACTTACGAATTCATTTCATTGGTGTAAAGGCTCAATGGAGTCTGCCTCATGCCCCCTGCTTGCACCCAAAGTTCTCTTTGATTATTCAATTAAGCATTTGTATGTGTGGTGGAAGCGGGTGTGTAGGTGTATAGGCAAAAACTCGCCCAACCAATTTCTGGGGAGAGGACAGGACTCCGCGACAAAATTTTGCATAAGGTCAAAAGTTAATAGGACTCAACGAGCTGTTTCATTAACATCGAAAGGGGTGAACCGGACCTAAGTCGACTTGTGGACTGCGTATAAGTATGTTAAAAGCACCAAACATCGGGCAGCTAAAACACAAAACAACTCAAGATCTTCTTACAAGCTACGGTCAGTGCAACCGTAAAGATTGGAAACCGAGATGATGTGATAAAGGATTTCTGTTGACAAGGAGCAGCGACGATGTGACTGTAGCTGGGTATCTATTCGAGCGGGTTGACAGTGTCGAGTGACGACGTGAGAAAAGGAAGGGTCGCGTGTGCGCCAGCACGATCAGTGAGATTTCCAGCTTGCGAATAGACTCACTCGATTAGGACGTAGAGAATACAGGCCAGAAAGTAGAGAGTAAAGTATCAGCAGCTGCCCAAACACATATCCTTGCGGAAGTGGAATAAGTCAGTGTAGCAAATTGACACGAATAAACAGAACAATGCAGAACTACTGCTCGGAGCCTGAAATAAACATAACCCTACAGGGTGTGTGGGAATGAGGAGCATCAAGCTCCACCTTCCCACACACCCAAATGACAGGGGTGTGCAGGAGGGAGGAGTATTAGCTCATCCTTCCCGCACACCGAGAGGTACGGGTTGGAGGGAGAGGAAGCATTGGGCTCCCCCTAACCCCCACTACCCGACAACAACAGGAAGATAAACGAGTATATAAACGAGTATACAGTGATTGAAGGGGAAGTTTTATTCACTTATTCTTAAACACTTAAAACTGAAGTCTTTTTGAATTTACTTCTGAAAATTTCACTAGTGGTTGAGCGCAAAACCTCATTTGGCAGTAGTTCTAGCCATCAAGCTGTGCGGCAAAAGAATGAATTGAACGCCAACATATAGCGCTTGTTCATTACTTTCCCGTAATCTAGATTGAATGAACCCATTCTGGTTGAGCTTGCTCGAAATACCCAGTACTTACGCGGCTTCAAGTTTGTTTCTTTTTTAGAACGCGAAAAGAAAATGTCAGGTCATTGCAAATTCTTCTGCAAAGGAGGTTATGTAGGGAGAAAGCCTTCAACCTACTCTTGTAGCTGGGCATGAAGAAGGCTCCTGGAGAAACTCTGTGAAATAGAAGCCTGGTAAACTTTTCTTATTTCTTTTTTCAAACTAGGGCTCCAGACCTGCTAACAATATTCGAGGTGAGGTAGAACGTATGGTTTGTACAGTCTAATCATCACTTTAGCGTTTTCAACGTGCATGTTTCTAAAGAGCGTAAGAAGTGCCCTATAAGCATTCTTAATTGCCTTATCAATATGGTTAGGGAACTTCAGCTTGGAATCAACTAAGACTCCAAGATCTCTGACCGTATCGACACTTTTCAACGGGATACCTTTGATCTAATAACTTGCTTAATCCAAGTCACCCATATTCAATAGCATACATTTATCTGTATTCAGTGTCAAGTCATTTCTTCTAGCCCAACCAAAAATAAAATCAATGGCTTTTCCAACTCATTATGCACATCAGAAAAAGTTTCTTAACTGTAACTACCATATATTTTGATGTCATCAGCATAAAGCTGGATTTTTACTTTACTAAAGCAAAGGAAGGTATCAGGTCCATTGTGTAAATCAAGAGCAATAATGGGGATAAAACACCTTCTGTGGTACCTCACTAGTACAGGGGTACTATCCAAAAAGCTACTTCCCACCTTCACAGTCATATGTCTCATTTCCAGATAGGATTCAAACCATTTCCAAAGATTTCCGCTGATGCCCAGCGCTTTTAGTTTAGATAGAAATATAGAGTGAGCAAATTTATCAAAAGCTTTGGAGAGGTCGAGGTAAGCGACATCAATCGAAAGCCCTGCATTCAATGCCTTGGTCCAATCATGTAAGCAATCAATAAGATTTGTTGCTGTAAAATAACCCGCCAGAAATCCGTGCTGTTCTATCGGCAGGGGATTGATTTTATTAATTCTAGAGAAAATTTTGTCTTTTATCAATTTTTTCATGACCTTCACTGGAGTGGGAGTCAAGTTAATGGGTCTAAACTCAGAAATAAGCTGCGCGTTGGAAATCTTTGGAATTGGTACTGCGATTGCCTCTTTCCATAACTCAGGAACATGACCCATAAGCATCGAAATGTTGAAAATATGGAGCAATGGTTTGCACAATGAAGAAGCACAATGTCTATAAACTATTATAAACTATTGAAGGGATACCATCATAAGGGATAGACGTAGATGGCATCAGATGCTTCAGTATATATCGTATGGCATTAGGTCAAAAAAGATTTCGGTACATTTAGGTTTGTAAGACTTCTCAGTATCCGATGTTCTATACAAAGCATGATATTGATTGAATACACTCGCAAAATATCTTGCTAAATTTTCAGCCTTTTCCTCGTCCGTGCTGAACAATGTGCCTTGCGAGTCCTTGAGAGCAGGCATGGCTTGCTGGGATTGGGTTTCGCGACGAATATATTCAGATAGATGTTTGAGATTAAGACGAACGGCTAATCCCTTTTCTTTATTAGCAAGATATTTCTTTAAGTGGTGATCAATATTAGAGCAAACTTTTTTGTACAGAACA